GAGGTTAACACAATCTTGTCTGAAAAACAGAGGAACTGTTGGGAAACAAGCAGGATTCCTGTGTATTTTTGCATTTACTCAAAACCAAAGAAAGTTTTCTAATAAAGGCAAGGACTCAAACTTGATGCTTCTGACACTGGAAAATAATGAAACAAAAGAAAAGTTTTGAACCTACATTTATTAGGTTGAGGCAGAATTCAGAACTACAAGAGATGAGGTGAGAAGACAGAAATCTCAGACTAGAGGACATCATGGGTAAACCAGCATAAGGGAACTGAGTAGAATCAGCAAAGGAGAATGGGTTGAATCAAATTATTTATGAATGCTGGCTGAATATTGCATGCGACAGACTCAGCTACACAGTAAAAGGCCAAACCAGAACAACAAAATAATAAGTGATTATGGGAAAAAGTATTTTCTTTAGGACAAGCATTTTTATTGCAGGGAAGGAGAATTTCCCAGAAATTCTGAAAAGTTTAGCAGTGGAAACACTTTCCAAAATATTCCTGACTATTCCTGGTTTTCCACTTCATAAATTTTCTAACACTACAGTGGGAAGTGGAGTGAAGAAAGGGCTGTCACTCTCATCACAACTAGTGAAAACTAAAGAACAAAGATACAACAATAAGTAGAATCATAGAATTGTTTAGGTTGGAAAAGACCCTTAAGATCATCCAGTCCAACCATTAACCTAACACTACCAAGTCCACCACTAAACCAATTAAGGGTAGAGTAGTAATGCATTGTTTTCTGAAAGCACAAGGAGGGACAAAGAAGAAGTGATTTGGCCCATCCCTCATGTCTCACAGCAGTACTATCCACAGCTGGACAAATCCTGATACATGTCTAAGCTGTTACTGATGAAAATTTGGTAGCTTCTCCAACCAGTTCTTCCCCTGCTCCACAAGCTTTACTACTCAAAAGTAGTATTTAACATGAATCTTCCTTACTGATGCCTATATACAGTGGTTCATAGTCTAAGCATCTTGCAATAAAGATATTATTCTTCTCTTCTTTACAGCAACCCTTTAGATACACCCAGATATAGCAGAAAGATTAACTGGCTTGTCTTCTATTTCACACTACTTAACATATATTTCACTAACACAGCAGGGCATTATTAACTCATCTGACTTGTCAAGTGTAAAATCCTCCCCCGCCCCACTCCCAAATTGTTGCACAGACAGGGATTACTAGACCTGCACTTAGACAAGAACAATCACAAGCACAATTCTCAGTATTTTTCCTAATCAAACAGCATCCCATTATTTTGGAGACATAAATTCAAGACCAGTTTTTAACCACGTTAGAGGACATACTCTTCCACATTCAACCTCATCTGCATGCTTAAACATTCAAGCCATTAATGCCTTGGAGACAAATCTCTGATCCTTCAATATAACATTCCAATTTGACAGCAAGACATTAATAACTGTCCTCCAAGTACAGTTCACTAACCACGTTCACATCTATCATTTAGCATATTCATTTAGACTAAGCTTCTCTAGTTTGCTTGGCCTATGAAACTGTATCAAAAACCTTACAAAAAAGTCAAATCCACAAAATTCCACACATCCATCAAATACTTTGTTAATATGGCTTACCTCTTTTGGACACTGATTTTTGCAGGAAATAAGAAGCTCCTTTTCTTTTAAATCAGCACACGTTAGTTTTCTGTAAAAGAAAAGATGTATTGGTAATAAATTCCAAACTAAAAACAACAAAAGTCAATACAGTTAGGGGTACATTTTAAGTGTATCTCACTCTAAAGAAAAGTGGGCTCATTTGTCCACATCCTGTGGGACTAGTATAAACTACATTATTTTACAGACAAAACCACATAAATTTAGAGGATTTGAGGTATTTTAAAGAAAATGCAGAAGGAAGAACATACATGCATGGAATGAATGTTTTCAGAGCAATATGCGGAGGATAAAGCTTAAATTCACAAGTCCCATCTTATATTTAGTAAAGCCTAGCTACCCTTATCCATACACGCACACAAATGATTAAAAAGGAGTACAAATGATTAGTAAGAAGTTTTCCAATTAAAACAGCTAGACTTTGAAGGACATTAGTTGTAAAGACCTTTTACACTAAGTACATTAATTCTAATTCTTATAAAATTCTTCTTTACATACTATAAAAGAACCACATATAGATCAAACATTATGTAGATTACTATATTTGCGTAATTCAAAATATTACTGTATTATAAAAACATTATAAAAACCAGTTCTGCTCATGAGACTCCATGCATTTATAATAATTTTAGCAGTAATACCAAATAAAACACTGGCAAAAACCCCATTATATTATGAATTATAACCTTCAAGAGAAGTTTTACAACTTGCCATAAGAGTAGCTCCTATCCCCAGACATTTCAAATGTTTTCCAGTTATTAGCATTCAAATGAAAAGTCGGGTTCAGTTCTGACACTTACAAGCATTCAATATACAGTATTGATAGTTTGCAGTGACACTTTATTTTAAGCATCTGGAGACATGACGGGCAATCCCCAGGATGACAGGGCAAAACACATCGGTGAGGACAGCCAGGTGGACGGGACTTGGTACACTCCTCTTCACACTGAGAACATTCTAGACCTGCCTAACAAAATAAAAACAAGGTACTAAAGAAAGTGCCAAACATTTGTTTGTTAGATGCCATTAACAAGCTTTTATATAGAAGAAAGGGTTGAAGTGTTTTTGCTAAGGGAATCCAGCTATGCAGTAAAATATCCCTCAAGCAAAAATAATTATTAAAATATGCTTTTAAAAGAAAAGCAGAAATGCCAGTGTTTATTGGTCAAAGAGACATTTCTATTTTGCTTCCTGGGCATAAGAGGACCTGTGAATATTAGTGTTTTGGAAAATTGCCATTAAGCCTGTTAATTCTCTCTGGAAACCTGTTAGAAAAAGAAGTAATTTCATATTCAGAACTAACTTTTCCCCACCCACCATGTTATTGTAATACTTTAGTCATGACATACTGCTCTGTAATACAGGGGTGGGGAGGTTTGCTTGCTTGCTTTTAACAAGCAAACTTTAAGTAATTCCATTTCCATACGTGTACGACAGTTTGTATAATCTTCCTACAAGTATTAGCTTAGGTATATGCGGGGAGCTGCTAAGGCATTGCTTCTGCTCCATATGCTACACAAAGTCTACAAGAGCTGTGGTGTCATTCTCATTCCAGGTGATGCGATCAACATCAGCACAACATGATGAACACCAGCACAGTAAATTAAGCTCCGTTTCTAATAATTCATCCAGAACTCCAGTCTGCAATCAAATACACATAGATTGACATGATTTATGAACTGAACCTACACAACACAGTATTTTAAGGCCCACCATCACATTCAGATGCTCAGTTTCACAGAAGTCAGACAAAGTAAAGCCAATTTATCCAAGAATGAAGCTACACAATGCTTCCCCAAAAGGACTAATTCCACACCAATATTTCACTTTATGATGTTCAAAATAAGGGCATAAGAATTTAAGTTTTTAATACAGTTTTCTCCCATGTTCTTCCAGACCCCTTTGCTTCTATAGTTGAACAATTTTTGCTGAAGTTTAAAAAGGAACAGTGGTCATTTACAAAACCTAACCTCAAAAATTCACATCTAAGAAAGACAATAGCAACTGAAAGCATTTAGAAAATTTAACAGTAGCTAAAAGCAAACAGCTGGTCTTTCTGCAACATTTTCTAACACAACATGCAGAACAAACCTAAATTCCAGACAGAAAATTCACTACTCAGACATATAAGCAAGAAATTTAATCAGCCCTTTTCTTACTACACCTGCAACTTAGTCTATCAAAACAACAGAACAAAAGTTCTAAAGGTCAAAACCAACTTGAGTTTATAAAAATTCAAAGAAAATTCAGAAATGAGATTTACCTATACTTCACATGTACACAGACGCTCATATTCTGAGAATGTATTATCTCATTCAAAATGGATCTAGGAATAATCCTGACCCATTCACATTTTAATTGGTTTAACTGAAGGAGGAGGCAGACAGCCTCTTATAGTCATAACTGGAGATGCTTAAACAACTGTCACTCTCAGTATTTACTGATGTCACTCTATTGCTGCAGGTTACTATTCCACAAGTTGCACTAACAGCTCATATTCCTCAGACAAAAGTTCCACAATCATTAATAGAATAATATGGTAACTGCAATATATACAGTTATTAGATGGCAACACCACTTCTAGGACTGGAATCCACAGGGAAATCATCCTATTTAAAAGTATAACAGTAAGTTCAAATATAACATTTGTTTTGTACCCAGCTGTTTTTTTGCTCAGTTTTCTAAATGCCCATAGAGACCATGTTGCAACTTTTTCTACAGTAATGCTTTAAAAACTTAAAAAGCTGTTTTCCTCCAAATCACGACTCTTTCAAACCACAAGCTGTGTGCTTTTGATTGCTCAAAACTAGAGCAATTTTCAGCTTTGTACTTACTTTTATTGTTTCATATTATCTTCAGCAACACCTGCAGCTTCTTAATTGCTTAAATGACAGTTTCTAGTAGACACTGATAAACATCAATATATCACCCCAGTGCTTTAAGAAGTCTTCACCTGTTCTGCAACGTTTCCAGTGCTCTCTCCAGTGCAGATCTGCTAGCCTCCTCAACCCATTTACAGCTCTCCTCAACCCATTTATAGCTCTCCTCAGTAAACCATTTCCCCAGTAGACTGCAAGTGCATTTGTATATAGGGATTATCAGTAGTTCACTTGATCTTAACAGTTACAAAAAACTGACTTCAGAAGAGATTTGTCAAGAGCATTAAACAAGGTTTTGATGAAAACAAAGTCATGTATGTTAGCATAAAACAAAAAAGTGTAGCATCTGCAAAATATATGATATTGTCTCAGTTTTATAGTCTAAAGAAGTATAGATTAGCTAAATGTCACAGCATCAATGGGAACAGAACACATGCAAGTCACCCAGTGGAAATGGGAATAGATCCTGTGCCTTCCAGCTGCAAATTCTTTATTTTCCAGTTAAAACTGAAGACAATGTATAAAATACACAAAAACAAAAGCAAAAAGGAAATCAACCTACCTTATTTCCATCTGCACTGCTGTTCAATTTAGTGACATGATGACATTCTTTCATACAGGTGTGATTCTGACAATCAAGAAGCCGCCCACAAGATCTTTTACATGAGTAGGGATTTGCAGAGTGACATGGTAATGGACTAACCTAAAAGTTATAAATAAATGGATAGATAGTGTACATATACACACATTGCACATGTATGCTGCATGTGAGATATATACACACACACACACAGAGGTACAGCATCATTACAGAGAAATTTTTGTTCTTGAGTATCTTTGTTAAAAGAAGAAAACCAGTGCAATGTCTATTTGACCTTTTTTTTTAACCTTTTTTTTTTAAATAGACTTTAGGTTCCCATCCCAACATAACCACACACATTTGTTTTACAGTGATTATACCAAGTAAAAAAGCCCACTTCATTAACTAAACAAGCTGTCTAACTTCTGCAACATAGTTTCCTTCTTTTTTTTAAACAGACTATTACATTCTCAAATGTCTTAATGTGATTTATTCCTTCTTTCTGAATTACACTTGTGCCTTCCATTAAAGGTTATGAAACTGATTTACAGTTACTGCAGAAGACAAACAAGAAGTTTGCTTTCACATGGCTAATTGTGTTATGGTCATCATAAACCCAAAACATTTTACAATTCTACAAACAGAAAACAACCTGCAAGCCAGAAATTCTAAAACTCAAATACTGACTATATCAAATATAACTCCCAGGAGTAGGGAGGGAAAGAAGAAATGGCTCTAAGACAGGACTAGGATTTTAATGTCTTATGATATATTTGTACTTTCTAATTTGAGGCTAACACTCCAGTTAACAGAGTTGTAGTACTATTCAGAGCATCTATCTAGAAGCCTTTAATCTTCATTGGTACTGAAATGGAGTGTAAACTCCTAACTTGGTTAACTAGGTTGCTTTCCTAAAGTTGAATAGTGCAAGTCCCTCCATATCACAAGTACTAGAGGAAACTCACTGTTCCCATTTTCCAACCATTATGTAATATTCATATGAAAAAAATTAGTTTCTGTGATGCTGTCAAAAAAATTTTTTTTCATAATATCATGATCATTTTGCACAGAAAACCAGAAACTATTTGTGATGTTATTACACAATAGGCTAATGTGACATAACTCACTTTGACTAGACTAAGGGTGCGATTTTGTTACAGCTTTGCACTGTACCCCTTCCTTTTCTCTGTCAACTCTACAGTCCTAATTGCACACTCCTACCACTTACTTTGAACAAGTCCTACCACACATCGGTCTTTAGAGCAAGACAATTCAACTAATCAAAATGGAAGAGAATGACTTCATAGAATAAAGTTCCTTGTCTTTTGCTAGGTTTGCAAGTTGATTGGCCATACAAACAGGTAAGCACTGGAACTGAAATGAGGGAAGAGAGGATGATCCCCCACAGGACTGAGCGAGGGACATTCTCCCTTCAGCACTGCCCATGCTGATTTCCCTCAATCCTAAAGCAAAAATATACAAAGTAGGATGTGAATCCACTTGCCTACAGAAATATTTTCCAGGCTTCACCCAAAAAAAAAAAAAAAGACTGTATTCCACAACAAGTCACTGCAAAATGCAATTCATTCACAAGACTTCTGAACTCCTCTACTTCTCATCCTGACCCACAGAGACTCTGAACAGGAGTCTGCATGGCAAGCTGAACATCAGGCATTGGATACACAGGAGGAAACCTTGAGGGTATCGTGTCCAACTGCTCTCCCATCCCTATGTCAGAGCTGAAGCTCATTATGCTGGCTAAAGCACTAATACAACCATAGTAAGTAGGCTGAATGCCTGGTTCATGCCACCCCCCTGCAAACATCCCACAACTCAGTCTCTGATGGCTTATGTTTCTGTTGACCAAAGGAGCAAAAGCCAGCAATAGGCCTAATAAAAAGAGGGTCTGAAGTGGAGAAAAGTACTATACCCAGCAAACACACACGAGTTACCAAAGCTTTTATTGTTCCTAATATCCTGTCCCTTCTCATGCTCCTCCGTCTCCTCCTCCTTAGAGTCACAACTTCCTTTCAGTAGCAACATAAGTAGTCAAAGGATGCCGGAAGGCAAAAGAATGAATGAAAAGGTGTACTAACATTAAGATCTGCCACTGCCCACTTCTCTGCCTTTCCTTGCTCTCCCATTTCCACTCAATTTTTTATGACTACTGGTTCTGCTGCAGCTCAGGCAGTAATAGCAGATTAGCTCTATGGGTGCACAGTTCAATATGCTGATGTTTACATACAGGAGGGAAGCGTTCATAAATGCATACAAGTGTTTTCTCTTTCGTTAACAAAAGTAAATTAGTTTGAGGTGAGATTACTTGTTAAGAGCCAGTGTGGCTGTAAAACATTGAACAGACATTACCTGGGTTTTTTTCTTTTTAGAGATCTCAGAACAACACAAAAATGTACAATGCACATAAAATACACTGTAAACACCTCCTCTCACACACACACACATTAACAAATCATTCTTTTCATTGACTGCTATTAAAATCTCAGAGATTAGGACACTTCATTCCACTCCAGACACTGCTAAACTTCAGGAGGAAGGAAGCACTGCGCTCTACTGGCTGAGAGAAGGAATGTTTAATCTAGAATATTACATACCATCAATAAATCTAAATAATTAAAGTCAGGTATAGACTCTCTGGGATTTTTCCTTATTTTCTATACTAACCCATAAAGACAACATGACCCAAAGCCACTGACTGATTCTGCTAAGACTAGCATGCAACAGAGAAGGAATTTTTTTTTTTAAACTATTCTATCTATATATA